TCTAAGCCTACCAGCTCTTAAGAAAAAAAAACAAAAGCTAGAGGCCGGTTGCAGGAATATTCCTGCAAGAATAGGGCTTCCTCAGGCCAGAGTGAAGCAGAGGGAGCAAAGCCCGTCCTCACATATGCAGATTAGCCGCCATCTTTGTTGGGTTAATTTGCGTCCTCCCTCTGATTGGCTGGTGGGTGCAGTGGAGGCACCGTTGATTTGCATGTTTCTCTTTTATGAGTGTCGATGACGACATTCTGCAATATTAGCTTTTTTGAGAATTTACCTTTAAATGTCATCTAAAACATCCTCGTTGTCAAGTGCCCCGGCCCCCTGGTCAGATCCTCAGAAGCAGCAGGGCCCTTGTGCCCAAACTAACGTCCACGGTGGACCAGGCACCGGGATGGCAGGGCGGGAAGGAGCCTGTGAAGTCCGCGGGGCCCCGGTCTTCCATTGACGCCCAGAGAAGTCGCTTACTTATCCAAAGGCACGGGTACGCGAAGCCGACAGCAAACCTAAGCTCTCAGCCTAAGCTCTCCTCTGTAAGCTAATTGCTGGTGTATTCACCACCCGCTCTCCCAAGTGCCGAGGGGAGGGCCCTGTGGCAAAAACACTCAAAGGTCTCTCACTTTGGGGAGGAGTCCCTTCGCAGGGCTGTTTTGGGGAGCGTCCTGGTAAACTGTGGAGAAGAAGCTTCCAGTTAACTGACCTGCTTGCGTCAGGAGGGCTGTCCCGCGTTGGTTTTTGCGGGTTTTGTCTTGTTTTTCTGTTTCATTTTCGGTTCCCCTGGTTCTTCCCAGGCACAGAGGTACATTCTGAGAGTAATCACTGACCACGAGCAGCCAGGGGGCTGGGCGGGGCCGGGGGTGACCAGCCCCCCAGCACAGGTCAGAGGGAAGGACGGGTTCCCCCACTTCCATCTGGAGGGAGGAGCCGGAGGCGGAGGGCGCCTCTGGAAACGGGTGCTGGCCAGTCTCCAGGGCCGCTGGGAGTTCATTCCTGAGAGGAGATTTTTTTCCCCTCTCCCCGAGGTGACCGGTCTGAAACACCATGCTTCTCCCTTCCTTCCCTCCTTCTTTTTTTTCCTTAAAAAATAGTACAAGTCCACAGCCTCGTACCCCAAACCCCTGGAGCCAGATGTGTGTGGCATTCAGAATGTTTCAGATTTTTAAACAGGTCATTCAGCAACAATACCAGGTAACCTGGCACCATCCCCACCACCATCCACCCCCCTGCCCCCTGCACCACGGGGTCTGGGGCAAGACTCCATGGTCAGGCACAGTTATATTTTGTAGCAAAACATAAATATTCATGAGAAGTGGGGCAAACAGGACTATAAATAGCCTCACATCAGTGCATTTCAGGTCAAGCTCACTGCTGCGGAGTTAATGTTTAAGCTTGATGATTGAGGCAGGCGAGACTGCAATATTCTGGATCAGGGCGTAGGTATTATCAGCAAAAGTCTTCCTATGCATCAAAAATGTGTGTTTCTGTGTCATGTTTTCTTGATCCACATTCAACTTTAGTTCATTATTATTTCTTGGAAACTACTTATTCGCATTACATATATATGTATACACACACACACACACACACACACACGCGTAGCCCTGTGCACAAATCCGTGCACCAGTAGCTTGCTGCCCCGCCCTCCTGCTGATCTGTGATCTGGTCGTTACACAGTCGGTTGTTACACTTCATGGCATAACGACCAATTGGCACATTACACCTTTGTGATATAGGATTTTAAAATATATTTTTATGGATTTCAGAGAGGAAGGGAGAGGGAGAGAGGGATAGAAACGTTCATGATGAGAATCACTGATGGGCTGCCTCCTGCCCGTCTCCCATTGGGGATGGAGCCCACAACCCCAGCCCGTTACCCTGACGGGGAGTCACACGGTGACCTCCTGGTCCAGAGGTGGACTCTGAGCCCCTGAGCACCGGCGGGCCAGCCACATTGTTATCGTCAGAGACACCTTCGCCGGGTTTTGCTCGGATCTCGCTTTATTCCGGCTTCTGCACCGGGCGGGGCCTCCCGTGCCGCCCTGGGATGGCGGGAGGAACAAACTGCGTTAGTGTCCACCCGGCTTCGGTCTCACCTCCGGTGCAAAGGCCTGGTCATGGCTGCTCCCTTCCCCTCGCACAACACGGTGCAGCTTCGCAATCTTATCTTGGCCCGTTAGCACCCGGGACGTCCTATTAAACAGAAAAAGAAGGAGAACAGGATTGCACACAAAGACAGAAGAGGAGAAGACGCCAAGGCCGACTTTGTCCTTGTGGAGGTCTGGATCCGTCTGGCCGATGCTGAGAAAAACAGTGCCATCTCTTCTGAAGTCCTCGTGGCCTGACAGATAGGAGTCCTGGTTAAACAGGACGTGGGACAGGAGCCGGGCGGGCTGCAGAGTCTGAGCAGCAGCAGCACCTGCGGCCGCAAACCCGCGAGGCGGGACGGAGTCTGCCCGCAGCGGACAGGATGTGCTCACGTAACTAATGTGCACGGGCTTGCCTCGTGGCACGGTGCAGACAGAGGAAACCACCCCAGACACTGGGGGGTGGGGAGGGGGGAGGCAGGGAGTAAGAGAACTACACGTATAGGGAGGATACAAAAAGCAAAGTCACAGGTTTTAGTTTTTAATTATTTTTTAAAATATATTTTATTGATTTTTTTTACAGAGAGGAAGGGAGAGGGATAGAGAGTTAGAAACGTCGATGAGAGAGAATCATCGATCAGCTGCCTCCTGCACACTCCCCACTGGGGATGTGCCTTCAACCAAGGTACATCCCGAATTGAACCGGGGATCCTTCAATCCGCAGACCGATGCTCTGTCCACTGAGCCAAACCGGTTAGGGCAACAGGTTTTATTTTTTAAATATATTTTTATTGATTTTGTTTTATTTATTTATTTATTTATTTTATTTTATTTTATTTTATTTTATTTTTTTTACAGAGAGGAAGGGAAGACAGAGTTAGAAACATAGATGAGAGAGAAACATCGGTCAGCCACCTCCTGCACACTTCCTACTGGAGATGTGCCCACAACCCAGGTACATGCCATTGACCGGAATCGAACCTGGGACCCTTGAGTCCGCAGGCTGACGCTCTATCCACTGAGCCAACCTGGTTAGGGCAAAACATTACAGGTTTCAAAATGGTAACTTCTTGCCTAGTGTAATAATAATAGAAGCTATCTACCGATACAGCTATTGCGGAGAGCGGACCCTCACAGCAGAGCTGCTAAAATACCAGAGGCCACACATCACGTCTGCCCAGGCCACCGCCTCACACAGCACGTTCTCACATGGAGCTTAACGAGGGAGTCTGACTGGCCCCCCGTCCTCAGCGGCTACGCGGGGTCTGACTGGTATTGAATTTCCAGCGTCTCCCTCACTTCCTCCTTCTGAGGCACAAAAGGTTTCTGTGGAGTTTCTCCTGGCTTTCTGGCCGGCAGCTACAGGGCCAGGCCAGCCGGTGTGGAGTTATAGGTGTGATTTTCCTCGGCGGGCGGCTCCGGGGCTTTGGACGTTCCGGAATAACCCGGGGGCTGCTGTAGGGACATCGGTAGGGGTGAGAATTGCCTGCTGTTGCTGCACATTCTCTCGGAAACGGTGTGAGAAAGCTGGGTCATTCCGGTGCCCTGCAGGGTGGGGACCGGCCTAGGACCCTAAAACCGAGTAACCAAACACCCCAGCATTAGCTTAGGAACACGCCTGGGGGTTGGCCAGGGGGCTGTGGGCACCTGGAGGCCTCGGATGTGTCAGGGGAACGTGGGTTTGAACCCCCACTGGGCCCCTTACCTGGCGCTCTGGGCCCTGGTCGTCTACATAACCCACTCCCACCCCCTCCCTGGTCCTCAGGCCGTGAGGACCCGGGGTGTACACTGGGTCTCCGATCGCTTCTTCTTCTTTTAACTCTCTTCTTCTTTTTTAAAATATATTTTATTAATTTTTTTGTACAGAGAGGAAGGGAGAGGGATAGAGAGAAACATGGATGAGAAACATCGATTAGCTGCCTCCTGCACCCGCCCCCCCCACTGGGGATGTGCCCGCAACCAAGGCACATGCCCTTGACCAAAATCGAACCCAGGACCCCTCAGTCCGCAGGCCGACGCTCTGTCCACTGAGCCGCACCGGTCGGGGCCATGGTGGCTGGTTGTCGCTGTCACAGCCCAGCCAGACGGCGGCGGGCAGGGGGCGCGGGTCCGTCCAGCAGGGGGCGAGCGCCGCACGCCTTCTCCCTCCCGGGCGGGCGGAGCGGGGGTGGAGGGCGAGGGGGTCCGAGGGGCTCCAGGCCGAGCGGGGCGGGGCGGGGGGTGCGGGGCGGTGGGGGGTGCGGGGTGCGGTGGGGGGACGGGGCGGGGAGGGGTGGGATGGGGTGCGGGGGGCCAGGAGGAGGCCGAGCCCGGCCGGGGGGCCCAGCGTCTCCTTCGCGCCCCGCGGAGCCGGAGGGGCGGCGCCCGGGAGCCCGCCGCCGCCCCTCCGGCCCCTCCCGGCCCCTCCCGGCCCCCGGCCCCCGGCCCCGCGGGGCGCGCCGTGGAGCCCAGCCCGCGGCGCGGGGCCGGACGCCGGGACGGTGCGGGGCGCGGGCTGCCCGCGGGCCCGGCTCCCCGGTCCCCGGCGGCGGCGGCGGCGAGCGCGCGGATTGGCTCCGGGCCGCCCGGCCCCGCCCCCGGCCCCGCCCCTCCGGCCGGCCCCGCCCCCGCCCCCCGCCGGACGCCCGGTTCGCCCGCGGCGGTGGCGGCGCTTCCCGGCTCTGCGCGTCCCCGCGGCCGGTCTCGGCGGAGGCGGCGGCGGCGGCGGCGGCGAGGGCGCTCGGAGGGCGGCGGACGCGGGCCGAGCTGCGGGTGCGCCGCCCCTGCTCCCGCCGCCGGGCCCGGCCCGGCCTCCCGCCCCGCGGCCCGGCCCGGCCTCCCGCCCCGCGGCCCCGGCCCGGCCTCCCGCCCCGCGGCCCGGCCCGGCCTCCCGGCCCCGCTCCTTTGTCCGCGCCCGGCGGCGGCCCCGGCGGCGCGGCGATGCCGGACCGGATCTCGGTGGCGGAGTTCGTGGCGGAGACCCATGAGGACTACAAGGCGCCCACGGCCTCCAGCTTCACCACGCGCACGGCGCAGTGCCGCCACACCGTGGCCGCCATCGAGGAGGTGAGCGCCGGCCCGGCCCGCGCCGCGCCGAGCCCAGCCTTTGTCCGCCGCAGCCCGGCCTGTTTGAAGGGCCGCCCCGCCCCCGGCCCCCGCGGGCCCCCGGCCCGGCCCGCCCGCCCCGTCTGCCCGGGGCCCGGCTCCCTGCCCGCCCCGCGCCCCGCCTCCGGGACCGGCCCCGCCGGCAGCGGGCCCGCGGGCAGGTGTGCGCCTCCGTGCGGGCCCCTCCGGAACCGGGTGCGCACCCGCCGGGAGGGCCGGGGCCCGGGGGCGCCCAGGGAGGCCTGGGATCGCCGCCCCGGCACCCGTTCCCTGCGCCTCCCCTCCGCCCGGCGCCGCCCTCCCCGGGCCGCCGGGCGGGAGCGGCCCCTGACCGGCCGCGGGCGGGGAGGGGAGGGCAGGGCAGGGCCGCCGGCGGCCTGTTCGGGGCCGCTTCCGCCCCCTCCGCCCTCAGGGCCCTGACGTCCCCCGGGGGGACCAGCCCCGCGTCCTTCCGTCCTTCCCGGGCCGGTGCGGGTCCGAGGTCCCGGGGTCAGGCTCCCCGTGGGGCGCCGGCTCTCCAGCCGGACGTGAGCCCGTGTGACCGCAGATGATTGTTTCTCTGGGCGGGAATGTCAGGCGACAGCCCTAACGTGGGGCCTGTAGGGGCTTTGGGTTCTAAGGTTTAGGAGCTGTCTGGGCGGGGGAGGGATGGGGGTCCCCCCAGGGCTGTAAGTGAGGCGATGGCATTCCTTTCTGTGGCCCCGGAACAAAGCGTTTGCTGTTAGGCGTTGCTGGGGGTGGGGGTGGGGGGGAGATCCAGAATGTTTCTCTGAATGGAACCCTTTTTCTCTCCCTTTGGAGGCACAGTCACTAACGGGCTAAGTCGGAAGTCACAGCTTCGGCACCCTGAGTGTTCTGAGTGCAGCCAGGGCGGCTGCCCTCCCAGCCTCCTCCCGCCGCCCCCTCCCCCTTTGGCAGAGGAGACCTGCCTGCAAACCTCACTGGATCCCAGGGAGTTCTGCCTGTGTCAGCCCAGCCGGCCTGTGGCAGACAGGCCGATGGGAGGGCCCGGAAGAGTCCCCCCCCAGTGCCGGGCCAGAGAAACATGCTCATGGTGCTTTGAAAATACCCATTCATGACGTCCACGGAATGACGGCAGCCGGAGAGGAAGCGGCTGGTGCCCAGAGCTTTCGGAGCGGCCTGGCCGGGCTGCGAGTTCTGTTTCTTTCCCCGCGGCGGTGTCAGCCACGTGTTCTTCCCGGTGCCAGGCGTGGGAGGCCGGCGGATAGGCGCGGCTGGGAGCGGGCACAGCCTCTGCGGCCCCCGTCCGGCTCCAGCGTGCCCTTCCACGCCGCTGGGAGCCTGCCCTGGCGCTGGGGGACGGAGCAGACGGGGAGACGGGGCTCGGTCACTGTGTCAGAGGCCAGCTCCCTCCGAGGTGCCCTCGGAGCCCGGGAATCCGTGGAGGTCTCCAGGGTGAAGAGGTGGAATTCGGCCAGGGGCTGCCGGACGAGGAGCCGATCCGGGCTGCACCCCGGGACGGGCTGCAACCGGGGACGGCGGCGGCCGTGGGAGCTTGCGTTTCTGAGAGCGAGGCCTGCACGGGGTCAGTTTGAATGATGCCCTTTCCGGGGAGTTTACCAAAACCCTGGCCTGTTGACGGCCTTATGGGCCGGGGATGCCAGATCCTTTGGTGTGTGACACGCAGCTGCGTTGGCTGCTGGAGGGAGGCAGGGGAACGGGTATGGGACCGGACGTTACCTGACGCCGGGCCGCCCCTCAGGCCTGTGGCCAAACCGAGTCCTGGATTAGGAAATGCGTTTCGAACGGATTGACCTCTGGCCCCGGCACCTCCCGGGCTGGGCCTGCTGGAGCCCGTGTCCAGCGGAATGTGCTTTTTCTCTCTTCACGCACGCCTGCAGCGGGGCTCTGGGCAGCTGCGGGTCCCTCCTGACGCTACGGCTTCCACATCCGTGGCCCGTACGCCTCACCCCTGCTTTCCCCGTGAGGAAGCTCGGGCCCAGCGAGGCCCTCCGCTCCGGGCTGCTGCATCGGAACGGCCTCCATGCTGGTTTCAGAGGCAGATGCTGCTTCCTGTCCTGTGTGAGGCCGCGTTCTCTGAATGACTCCTTTGTCCGCCAGACCTGGGTTCAAGTTCAGAGTCCCCCCCCCCCCCGCCAGGTGTGTGGGCTCCGGGAGCTGCCCAGGGCTCCGCGTTCCCTCCATGCTCAGGCCGGGCCGTGGAGGCCGTGGTGAGCGCTCACGAGCACACCCAGCACGGCCCTGGCAGACACCCGGGCGAGAGTGCCGACCGCTGGCAGGTTGTGGTTAAGCCGCAGGACCCGGGGAGGACCGGGCCCCAGGAGATTTGCATGAGGGAGGGAGGAGGAGAGGGGGGAGAGCCGTGAACGGCTCAGTGAGGAAGGGGATGAAAAGCCACTGTGTGAATCCCGTGCTTTGGTTTGGTTTGTTTTCATTAAACCCATGTTGTTGTGTTTTTAAGCAGCTCTCTCGGCAGCAGCAGGTCACCACGTGACCGTTTCACATTTTTTTACCTGATCCCTTTCTCCGGGCGAGATCGTTACTTTGGCACCATTTCAGCGTGAGGTCCCGGGTGCCCTGTGTCTTTGGAAATAACGGGAAGAACCTGCGTCGTGATGGCGTACATCTGTAACGGCGGCTTTTTGTGGGGGGTGCGAGTTGTTTCTGTCTCCGTTTCTTTGAGTCTCTGGGCACTTGGGAATTGTCTGGAAACAGGGAGAAGTCGTGTCCTCCTCAGGAATCCCGTGTGTACGGGAAACTCCTTCAGAGCACCCTGCCTCCCGCCTGCCTGCATGGCTCCATGGCGTACATAGTTTTAAACGTAAATCGGACGCTGTTTCGGGAGATGTAAGATGTAATCTCCTCCCTCGGGGCCATCTTGCTCTGCTCTGTTGTCCTTGGTTACCGTGGAGACCTCACTGGTGTCCCTGCACGGGGTTCTAGCTGCAGGGGTGGGGTGAGCATCTGGGGTGCTTGGCCAGGCTGCCCGGACCCCCAGGGGCCAGCGGTCCTCCCCGGCGGTCAGGGCGGGAACCGGGCCTCTGGGCTTTTCCGGCAAGAATGCGATTCTGGGTCAGCCGGCGTGGCTCAGGGATTGAGCGTCGACCTACGAACCAGAAGGTCATGGGTTCGATTCCCTGTCAGGCCCATGCCCAGGATTCAGACTTGATCCCCAGCAGGGGGGTGGGGTGTGCAGGAGGTAGCCGATCCATGACTCTCATCACTGCCGTTTCTGTCTCTCTCCCTCTCCCTGCCTCTCTGAGAAAAAAAATACACGGGATTCCTGAGGAGGACACAACTTCTCCCTGAATCCCAGCCCTTTGAGACTTGTCTGAGACGGCTCTTCCTGTAACTCCAGCTGGACACGCTGCCTGCCGGCCGGAGGGCGTCCCCCTGCCGCGCGTCTGTGTGTGGAAGTGAGGCTCCGTGGGCAGACGGGCCCCGGGTGCTGTCTGTGTTCTGAAGTCTGGACTTACGTGTTCCGAGATGTTTGAGTCACTCGAGGAAGAAAAGGTCTCCTAGTGCCCCCCCATCCCACCCACCTCACCCCCCCTTCCTGTGAGTAACAGGAAGCGTATCAGCCTCCTCCACTGGGTTCGCTGGGGACTCTGAGCGAGCGGAGCGAGGGCGGCATCGGCAGGCCCGGGAGTGAGCTCTCCGTTCTCCGTGAAGGAACCTGCAGCCCGGGGCCAGGGACAGTGCCACCCGCGGGGCCTGGCCGCCCCTGGTCCAGCCCCGCCCAGGGCGGAGGCGGCGTGTGGTTGGCATGGGAAGTCAGGGGAGTGGCCACATGCTTTAGTCACCGAGGGCCCTCCTGCTATCGGTCAATATGGGTCCCTCCCGAGGCGCTGGCCAGCTGGTCTTCCGGGTGGATTTTCCCAGCCGCCCACTCCGCGGAGGGCTGCTGGGGCAGGAGCTGGGAGCAGCCCCGATGCTCCGCTTGCACTTGGAGTTCCTCAGTGGCACTGGCCACGGTCAAGGGTTCACGAGCGCCCCAGCTGGTGTGGCTCAGTGGGTAGAGCGTCGGCCTGCCCACGGAAGGGTCCCGGGTTCCAGTCTGGTCTAGGGCATGCATCTCAGTTGTGGGCTCGATCCCGGGCCCCGGTCTGGTCAGGGCCCATGTGCGAGGCAACCAACCTACGTGTCTCTCTCTCATCCATGCTTCTCTCTCTGCCTCTCCCCCGCCCTCCCTCTCTCTCTAAACATCAGTGGGGAAATGGCCTCAGGTGAGGATCGGCAGGTGCTGGCCAGTGCCCGGCGGGCGGTGCAGGTCTCGGCACCAGCTCCCTTCGGAGCGCCGTGAACGGTGCCCAGACCTCACCCGTCCAAGCAGGGCCCCCCAGCCTGTTAGACATGAGCGTCTCCCCTCAGGCCTCTGAGTCAGAGCCCGTGTCCCGCCACATCCAGGTACACGCTGTGCTCGTGGGGCGGGATAGGCGTGTTCCGGGCCCGGAGCCTGGCTGCGGACCCCCTGGGGCGCCGGGTGCCCTGAGATGCTGGCTCCATCGTGTGGGGCGAGGCCTGAGCTTTGTTTTGTTTTTTGTTTTTTCCACCAAGAATTTAGGACTTCTGTTTCCAAGTTGTTGGAGCAGAATCTTGGTAAAGCCTTCTTTCCCTTCTCCCTCACACGCACACAGGAAGTCTGTTGTTGGGGAATGACTCTGCACATGGGAAGAAGCAATGTGCATGCACACCTGACGGGGAAGGGTTCCCTGGGCCCCTCGCCGATTTGGCTCGGTGGGCAGAGAGTCAGCCTGTGAGCTGAGGGGTCCGGGGTTCGATTCCCAGGGGGGCACAGGCCTGGATTGCAGGCTCGATCCCCGGTGCGGGGTGCACAGGAAGCAGCCGATCCATGATTCTCATCACTGATGGCTCTCTCTCCCTCACCCCTCCTCTCTGAAACCAACAAGAATGTGGTAAGGTTTAAGAAAACGGTTCCTGGGGCTGTCCAGGCATGATCGGCAGGGGTCCCTGCTCTC